TGGCCGCAGGTCCCGGGGCTTGCCAGTGGCCACCCGGGCCCGGCGGTGACCTCCGGCCGGCCCCTGGCGCTGGCAGAGAGGGCTGCTCGCCCACTCGTCTCACTTAGCCTCCTTTAGAAGCGCCGCTTTGCCGCAGCTCTTTTTTGGCTAATTATGTAGCAAGGCCTTCGGAAGGATCCGTTACTTGGGTTTGGTTCCCGGAATGGGGTTGCCGAGGCTCTAAGCACGGCAGAAGCAGGCGGTTCGCTCGCTGTTGGGATTTGGTGCGCTTACACAGGGAGAAGAGTAGCCACGGGATAATTTCCTGGCCTTAAATCACTACACGTAAGATAAAGCTGTTTTGTAGGCACCACACCGACTGAACGAGCATATGGCTTTGCAAAGCCGGTCGTCAAGGACCTAACTTGAAATTGCCAGGCTTTATGCTTAGGCTAGCAAAGTGTTCCTAGAAGTTTGCAGCTTCTTGGAGTATTGTTCTTGGCTGCAAGTAAACTGCTGACCTCAAAATAAATACTTCAGCCAGTGCTTCCAGAGAATTTCAATCTCAGCACTCGCTCCCGAGGGCACCTGGCAAACCTTTTTTGTGATCTCACAGCCACTTTTATCCTTGAATTAAACATGTACTTCCTTGACAAAGAGAAATATATAATTTACAGTTTCAAGTATACAGGTCATACAAACGGAGACCACATTCCCGACCGCAAAATTTCTGCTTTGCTGAAGAGCAGAACTTTTGGCAAAGTGCATCCCCATCTTTATTATCTGGACTGTTTTGTTTATGTGTGCTGACGCTCTCCTAAGTACCTGTTTGTGCCGAGCTTCCAAAATGCGCCTGGCTGGGCAGCAGCTCGTGGCCCGCTTCATGCATGAAGGGCACTTGTCACTTGTTTGCCTTGCTGTGGCAGGAATAACAGCACTGGTGCATCAGAAGCAGTGGGAAAGCTGCTTTTGTCGCGTTAGCACCTTGTGTGCTTCACCTCTGCAAAGTTTGCTTTTCCAGCAAAGATAAAGCACGCAAATAATTGTTGAAGGAAGGAGGAGGAGGCAGGAAGGCCGTGCGTTCACACACTGTGCGCATTGTCTGCTTCATTTCGTGATTTTGGAGAGCCTTATATTGTTTTTCTCCTGCAAGAAGTTGTGCTTACCATTCATGGAATTAATAATTAAACTGAGGAGTTGTACTAGAGCATAATTTTCGGTGGGCAGGCGTATAACTGAGCAAATAAGGGAGTCAGTGTTGCTGGCAGTGGCGCTGGTGAAGAACACACAGCAGGGTGTGTGTTTTGGTTTGGCCACCACCAGAAGCACCGTGAGGAAGCCACCATTCTTACCCTTGTAAAAGGCAAAGCAGCTGATCCTTCCTGGCTCTTTGAAGGAAGGAATTGCCATGTGCCTCCACCCGCAACAAGGGATGCATTTTGAAGAAACTAATTGCACGTTGGCAGGACGAAATCTGTCACACTAGGCCCTTATGAATGTTGTAGTATGGAAATTAGTCATGTGAAATAATAAGTGGATGAGCAGAAATACTACTGGGATGGAATGTAGAACTATCCGTAAAGAGGATAATAAAGTGTAAAAGGATCTCACATCAAAGCAGTGACTGGATCCTGTTAGACTTGTTGATCCTGGCGTAATTTGTTAAAAGTTTCCTGAGACGTGCACCTATGGTGTGTTCAGTGATAGTTACAGACTTGAGAAAATTGGCTCCAGCCTGTCATCTTTGGACTTTCAATTTATCATGGGATTGGTTTGTGATAGAGGCAAACCTGTCTCTTGTTACTGAAACAAACTGCCTGATGCTACCAGGAAAATGTTAAAATTTGGCAGAAGAATTGGGTCCAAGCGTTGTTACTACAACTGATTATATTTTTGTCTCAGGTACCTTAGTAGTTTTTAGTCATCACACTAAACCTAACACCCAATGCAAACATATCTGAACTTTTCATGGTTGTGTTTGTTACCACAGTTCAGTGTTTCTGAC